ATTTTTTTCACATCTTAAGTTCATTTCAGAGATTTGAGTTTCAGAATAGGCCTGCCTATAAGTATTTATATTTAATTTTAATGTAGTATGAGCTCACAATATTAACAACAAATAAATTAGTGACACGTTTTTTTTTGATAACTGCAAAATGTGAAAAAACGTACTTGTACAGAGGCGGATACTGCCAAGTCTTGCATAGGTGAAACGCGAAGACCCCTGGAGACCAGACAAAAGGAACACAAAAAATGCATCTAGGAGAAGTAAAAAACTAGGAAAAGTAAAAAATATCTAATGGTCCGTATCTTGTGTCGAGAATGCATATTTATTTGTTTATGCTTCATTGCTTCATTTTCGATTTCTGATGGAAGTTTTATTATTTGTGGAATTCATCGAAAAAAATCAAATTTTCCACGAATTGTTGATTTGGATTTTGTTTTGTCAAATTTATCACAAATATCACTTGGTTGACCTAATCGAGCGCTTTAAACGCCGTTTTAGAAAAATCTAAATCGGGACTAACGGTCCGGGCGTTATTCATTTTTTCGAAAATCACATTCGGCCCTGGAAAATATACTTACGGTCGACGGATTCGGGCCTCCATCAATAGGTTTCCGCGAGTATTTTCCTTAGTATGAAATAAACATGGAAATACTGGTATTTTGAAAATATATTTTTTTCTAGAATTTTTTTATGCAGAAATAAGTGCATCACGGGCATTCGTAAATATTTTATTTCAATTTAAAGTTTAAATTTTGTATGATTACGTCACTAACCGCACTTTAGGGAAATCACCAAAACTAATGATGGCTGCTTGATTAGGTGGCACTTCTAACATAGAGGTCTGTGACTAATATCACAATTCTTGTATGTCATTTTTTACTACTTACTTGCAATTTGCAATAATTATCCACCTAAATGTGTAAGTATAAAATATAGTTTATTATATAAAAACTTTAGTAACTCACAAGTTCACTTAAAAAAACATGTTTTTAAAATAAACAATAAATAAACGTTAGTGGAAAGTATTAAATGCCAAAAAAGTGTTACCAATAACGAAAGTTACCACTATAGGATTACGAAACTCTCTAAAAATTTGAATTTGCGCTTAGTGACGTCATCAAAACTTGTAAATTTTTTCAGCTGAAATAAAACAAAATATTAAAAAAGAAAAAATACGCATCTCGTACTTTTATCTCTACTTCTCGATTCATGAAAAAAGTCGCATCGAAATCGATCGACATCCTGACAGTTATAGTGCTCATTGGCTTAATTTTTTGCAAAAAACCTGATTCGCATTTGTTTCTTATATACGCTCAACTACACTATTTCGTAGTGATTTTCCCAGCGGCAATCTTTTGGTTTTTTAAAAATCTTGATCCAACCACCTGTTACCGAGTTGACATAATTTTTTTTTCTTAAAAATCTGAAGCCTCCGTATCGGGTACTTCCGGTTTCCGATCGGAAATAAAACAAATTATTAAAATATAATTACCATGCACCAACTCACACACATACTCACACACCTACATACACCTACGAAATCAAAGAAGGTAAACTAAAGAAACATTCCTTGCTAGTTACTTAGGACCACACCCTACAAACTTTAAAGTTTCCGGAAAGTTATTAATTGAAAGATAATTACGACAAGCAGTTGCCGCCAATATCGATATGCTTGTCCTTTATTTCCAATAATTGGCATGCTAATTACAATGACATGCTTGCATTATCGACTTTTATATCATTTCTGTTGTCGGCATCGCACAAACGACCTACGCCATTATTTGCACGGCCGGATTATTTTGATCTCAAAATCACCAGTTGATATGATGTATGTACATTAGAAAAGATATCCCGAAATTATCATTAACTTCCATTTATATCCTCGCAAAAAAAACACCGCCATGTAATGTTATAGATGATTAAAGTTTCCAATAAGGGATGAGAATAGCGCTAAATAAACAACTTGAAATAAGGCAAACACTACATATGCAGATAATTGGTGGGTATTGGACGACATTTCCACACCTATATATAGAAGGAAAGACCGTTTTCTTTTTCAAGTGCTTTTCGCTCCGCTGCACGAGAAGTATTTGGTGCCAGATTGGGGACGGCTAATCATCCCTATTCGTTCGGGAGTATCTGCGGATAACGTCTAAATTAAGGTGATTAGTTTTATTATGTAAGTAGCTAAAACAATTACCACTATATTTTTAACACTGTTCTTGTTGCAACGTGACTGCAGATTGACTGCAAAGTTCGGCAAAGACAATTTTTACCACCATTTTCAATTAGCTGTAAATTTTTTAAAAGTAAATTTTTTGTGCATTTCCAGATTGAGTACACAAAAGAATATTTTTTCTTAAGTTTAAATACACTTATTATATAGGGTGTAAAAAAAAGTAGTGTAAAAATTGCAGACGTTTGATGGTCTGGCATTTTGTTAAAACTAAATTTTTCATCATCTCCCATTATGGATGGCAAATGAATTAATATCAATATATTTAGACGTTTTCTGGAGTTTTTTTTTATTAAAGGCTTTTGGTATTGTATATACAGTGAGGTTCAAAAAGCCTGGAACGCCCCAATAAATAACTTCCAAAATATTGTTTTTTTTGCAAAAACGCTCAGACACGTCAATTTTTTGTTCTATTTTTCTATATTTTTGGGGTATTTATGTATTTGTACAGTGACGTATCCCTGAGGTACTGAAAGAATATAAAGGGTGAGCCAAAATAACCTCACACTTGGCGTTTGAACATTTTTGTTGTGAGAAAAATCTTCTGATACGTATTAATAAAGCAACTCTAAACAGTTTAGTTCTTCATTAAAAAAAATAAATAAAATGGTACAGTGTGTTCCAAAAAATAATGGCTAAGCTGAAACCAGAGATGGAAGTGTGCTTTATCTGAAATAAAGTTATTTAAATTAGATGCACCTAAAATTATCAAATATTCATTTTAGAAAACACGGAAACGAAAAACAAACATTAAACAGATAGTTATTGTAATTAGTTTTAATTTAATTTGTTAAATTTTTAGATTTCGATTAAAACCATTATTTGTGGAACACACTGTATATTTTATTTACTTTTTTAGGCAGAACAAAACTTTTTGAGTTGCTTTATTAATACCTACATACCAAAAATTTTTTTTTATTCGACCTCCAAATGTGTCAGGCAATTTTGGCTCACCCTTTATATTTAAATACTTCACAATATTTTTTGCCAAATTAGTACCTTTAGTATGACTGCAACACACAATATTGAAAAAATAATACATTGTAACTGTATATTTTCAGAAAACTAATTCTTTTAAATTCGAACAAAGATTGTAACACAATATTTCTGTTTCAGAATGGCCATGTTGTTTAAATTTCTGGTTGTTTTCATAATTGTGAAACTCTCTTCATCACATACAGCGCCAATCAGATGTGAGGATTTAAATGTGAGTTATAATGAATTAAGATCGAACCTTATACAGGATGTTAAATGTTAAATTCACTGAATGTAGCAAATCATTTTATGTATCTCACGAATTTCACTTTCCTGTTTGATATAAAAGTTATTTAGACGTGGTTTTTGAAGTAAACTGTTTCAAGGAAGCCGAATCTAACCTTAGAAACGTTGCTGGTTTGAAAATTTGGCAGATAAGAAGTCATCTTGGATTTTTTTAATGACAACATGGGAATATTTTTGATAGAGCCTTCCGATTTGATTTAAAAAAAATATAGTTATAGCAATTTATTTTGATTTTTTGTTTTTAAAATCAGACTATAAATAATGGTGTTGTTTTGCGGCCTTTTTTAAAGATAAAAAAAATAGGCCATGTGAAATAATAATCAAAGTGATTATTTTATTTTGATGGTTTATTTTACGAGTTAGGTATTGCCTAGCGGCATTACCGTAGATATGTTGAATTATAAAATAAACACGCTTTCTGCACATCACGCGACTGATTATATTAAGGTTCGAGCTACAGACATACCGTATCTAAATGCCATTTCATTTTACAGATTCCACCCTTTGAAAAGAATGATTTATGCTGGAAGGGGTTGTACGTACCGCGCCAGGCAAGTATCCCTGCGGAAAGTTTAGCAAGCATCGACTTTCAGGAAGTTCAAAGGAGAAATTCAGAATTGAGCAGCGCCCTGAACTTTCTGTATGGCAACAAAAGAGAGCAGATTTCCAGGGAAAAAGGAACCCCGAATTATCTACGGCGCTACTGAACTACCTCAACAGGAATTAATAAATTGTCTAGTATACTTTTAAAAAATAAAATGCTGAAGTTACAACTTTATTTAAAATTAGTATAGTTTAGTAAAATATTTATTTATTTTATTTATTTAAGTAAGTATGAATAAAAATATGAACTGAACTATAATACGTATCTAATAGTAATAGTACTAACAAGTACTGCTATTTCTTATAACAACGCACTTTATTTATTACTAGAAAGTTGACACCGCCTACGGCAGTGTTCAGTTTCCTAGCTCTGCGAGGCGATGTGGCGGCTGCGCCGACATTTTATGGAGGCGACAGGTGACAGATAAAGAAGTACTTTTAACTGTTCAAATGACGCAAGTTGAGTTCGATCAGCCCCCTGATTCTGATCGTTCGATTCGACACGAAATAGAAGATGGAGAAATACACGTTACAATAATCGATAATAAAGATGGATATATCGAATCGAACAATCAGAATCTGGGGGCAGCTTCTGTAATTTTTTAAAAGTCACACTTATTCCATTTGACAGTTTATCAGATAAACGGTTCGGCAGTTATCGTGTCAGAAAAAAATATATAGACATACATACATACAGACAGATAAACATTTCTCTGGAAATGGTATTAATCATCTTAGGGGACCTCAAAACGGATATATCCGTCGCTATCTAAAAATTATTTTTCGCACAATCACAATACTTTCTTTTCCATTAGTAGGGGTCGGGAAAGTGAAAAAAAAAATAAATAAGGCGATAACACGTTTGATAGAACAAAAAGCTGGGCTCATGTAGGGATCGAACCTACGACCTCCGCGAGCAAAGTTAAGTGCGGCGCTCTAACCAACTGAGCTAACGAGCCAGTAATAGATTACTTGGTAATCACCTATTTATAAGTACGTAAGTACTTATTGATCAATCACTAATAACAGAAAAAATACAGAGGTTGTATTTTGAATAGGGGGCTAATATAAAATATTATTATCAAAATATATAATTATTTTAAAATCGCAAATACCAGAGCTTTCTGGGTTTTCTAGGGGCTATAAAGCCAAAATTGCCAAAAATTGTGCGTCGAATAAAAAATATTACCAACATTCAATAACTCTGTTGTGGCACCACAATACTTTCGGCAAAGTATCCAGAAATGTTTAAAGTTTTTTATTTAAGGTGTCCGTTCGGGACAGAGGTAGCTTAATTGCAGGATTGAAAAAAATGTGTTAAGTGAAGGTCGGGAATATGTAATTTTCATACTTTGTAATTTGTGTACTATGTAGAAGTTGACACTGCCTACGGCAGTGTTCAATTCCTAGCTCTGCGAGGCGATGTGGTGGCGATGTTCAATTTCCTAGCTCTGCGAGGCGATGTGACAGATTACAGTCAAAAACTAATGGCCTCATTGCAGGCTGTAAGTATACCCCTGTACCAAATTTCCAACTCAATCGGATCAACGGCATCGACAGTTTATTTGACAGATATCAATGGCCGCGACAAAAAAGTTCGCTATGCGAAAGCATAATCGTACTTAAGATAGGTAACCTCAAGTAAGTATATCAAAATCGAAAAAAATATTATGAAAGCTTTATGGACACCCTGTGTAAGATGCAAATAAAATTTTAGGTTAATAAGTTAGTATGTTATTCCCTTCCCTAAGCCACTGCCACAAGGTCTAAAAAAAAATCGAAATTTAATGCTCTGCATCTGCATTAGGAAGCAAGATAAAAAAATTCAAGAAGAGGTATGCAAACAACATAAAATTCCCAGATTGTGCAGACTTTTACGACCATTGATAAAAAAACTAGAGAGGATGAGGAGAAAATGGAATAAAACCAATCAAACACCAAAATATAAATCACTTCATCCACCTTATGTATATATTTTTATATTTAGGTTATTATTAATAAATAGAAACAGTCATATAACAAAATATTTTCATTTACAATAAAAAACACATTTAACCTCTTTCGCATATTATATCAACAACACTTGGCTCCATTAACACTGGCTCCAAACATCTATGCACTGCAGATCCTAAAATTTCATCCAACAGAAAATGCACCAAACTAAAAAAAATCATGGAATGTGCTGCACTGAATTATTTGTACCTACAACTTACTTTTCATCAACGACAAATCTCCACAAATATAACTGAAGGTAATGGGTGTCAACCTGAATTTGCTGCAATCCATATTTACTAAAAGTCTTCAACCTAACACACTCCATAAAAGTCTACAAATTTGTTTATTATTTAATACGATAGACGTATGTGTTGAAACAGACCTTACCTTTAAACTAATCTTAATAATACCAGTCAGAATAGAAACTTTGCTGAACTCCACGGTGGAAAATATCTCGATTCGTTCACTAAACAGTTTATGCATATTCGATACCAGGCTGGAATCCAAATGACTTGGAGTATAATTAGACCAGTTGGATTTATACTGATGTCTCGACACTGAAATGCTATTAGAAAACATTAGATAATTTAAAGTGCATCAGAAGAAATACATGTACGTACCTGTGTGCCTTACGGCTTGAATCGCTCGAATGCTCCGTAGCAGTTCCCTGATCTTCATACAAAAGAGCTACAGTGGAGTCTATAGCAGAAATATCCTCTACCACCCTTTTCATAACTGCCCGGACTGTTCTTGGTTCAATTGTGTGTAGCCAATCTCTAGTTTTTCGACGCTTTTTCTAAGCATCTGAAGCAACGAAACATTTAGTATTTATGGTAGATTCATTTTAAAGACGAGTAAACTCAAAACAAATGACTACAGTGCTTGATCAACACCAAGGAGCTGAAATAGGCAGGACCACATTAAGTACATGTAGGTGTTTTTCTGGGAAAAAAACTTTATTTCTTACAAATCAACCATTAATTTTACAATGTAAGTAATAATTACAGAAGGGAGGTTTTGCTAAAGCATGAAGCTTTTGGACGACACTATCAGACACCACAAAAAATCCAATAGGATAAGGAAATCCCACATTATTCTCATGACATAATCACTGTTCTGTGACCTAACCAAGGAAAGCAAATGACCTAGGGTAACAGCGCATAATTCACATTATACCTAATAAGCACGAAACTTTGGATGATTTCTGTAAATGCTGTCTCAAACTTGGAATATACATGTCTAAATAAATTTTTAAATAGCACCCTGTATATTGTTTCACAAATTTGGATAAAGCCACTTCAACTTATTTGTAGACCGATTATTAATCCCAAAAAACAATTGAATGGAGAAATATTGACTTTATCTTATAGAACAAGCCAGCTCTCTATGCTATACTTATACTGATTTTTCGATTTGATATCCGTGTCGTTCGTAAGACATTATAAATGTATTTCAAATATTCATCCCCTGTAATACCCCAACGTTCCACTCGATTAAATCCAAATTTTAATCATCCCTAAACCTCAATGTGGTGCATGTGTAATGAATTTCAACTTAATACCTCAAACCATTAGTGAGTCATTGCATCCACAAAATTAGCATATACCCTTAGAAAGATGCATGACAAAAATGTATAAAAAAATCTTCATTTTTTTTAATAATTTACTCTTCTTCAATTTCCATAACCGCACATTTCACCCTAAAGTTGAAACTAAACAAGGTATTATTTACAAGATCACAAAAAAATAAAATTTGTAGCCCCTTTTTTCAATATAGCGTTCAAACCCTGGCGTTTCAGGGTATGTAAATTGTCCTGCCAATAACATGAAATTAAACTGAATTTAATCCAGCCTATTTGTAATTGCTCTCACTACCAATGCACTTTTTGACCGCATATTAGACTGTATATAAAAAACTCATATACAGTAAATATACATGAAACTACATACCTGCCGAACAATTTAGCCCTTGTATTCTGACGTAATAGTTAAGAAGTTCTTGGGCTGATTCCTGCATGTTACTGTTTATTTCATTTTCGTTTGTCAGTGCTACATTTTGCTTTGGATTAATTTGAAACAGTTCATCTGTTTGCGACAGCTAGAAAAATAAAAAAAACAAATAACAGGCTGTTCAATATTGAAATGATAAAAAAATACAAATTGCATAAAAGGCTAGTCCCAACAGTAAAAAAAATTTAAGAATGCTAAAAAAGAATAACTTTAGTTAGGGCTGCACCGGCTACATTCTAGATTAATGTTTTAACCAGTCAGATGTAGGGACCAGTAAATATTAAGTTAAAGCAATTGTCTGTTTTCTTCATAGTGAGATATCATTTGAAGTATCTTTCAGTAGCGGCTGGTGGATTTTTAAATGTCTATATTTCAGTTATAAAAGCTGGAGTGCTGGGACCCAAATTATATTTTAAGTCGTTAAGACTATTTGACTCTATATAGAACATCACTTGGGCAAAATAAAGGCAGGCAACATTTGCGAAAATTTTTTTCAAAATGGCCTGTGCCCTTTCCCCAGCTATCTCCAAACCAATCGGAAGACTTGACTATCTTTTTTGTGACAAAAGACACATAATTTTTTTTTTTTTGGCCTGTCTTCCAGTATCAAAAAGGGCAAGTAACAAGAAAACTTTAATTTTAAAATTAAAAATACTGCTCTTACATCTAACTATGGGTATAAAAGGGACAGAGCAGAGAGCAATTAAAGATTATCAGAAATTCTTAGTAATTTTGGGACTAAACTACCGCATTAGATCATTTATTTTTTTATGTGATAAAACCCACCCAACAAGTGTATTGGCAGCTTTAAACTTACCAAAGTGAACGCTTCCATTCTGAAAATCTAAACAAAGTTTTGACAGTAAAAGCAGCAGAGTCGGAGGAACTTTAGGATCAGCGGTACCTGTGGAACATAAACTTTAGCTGTAGCTGTAAAATGATGCATGAAACACACTATCAGGCCCTCTCTTCCATTATCAACGCAACAAACTGTCTTTAAACTGTGGCTTCTGTGCAAAATTCACTTCAGGTTGAATAAAAACCTCAAAAATTTCAAATTAAAGCCTAAATTATTCCGTAAGATTTCTACGCATATGAAACTTACCACCAAGTCTTGTAAGACTCCTTTAATTTTCTCAACAATAGTTACCAACAATGAATTTAAAACTTCATTTAAATTCTTTAGAAGAATCATCTTGACTTATCAGTTTAGGAGTAGTTAAAGTCTGTAGCTTTAGTTAACATATCGGCAAAATGCATCTTAAGAATTTGCAGATGTGCCTTACACTGCTTCCGCCCAGCATTTATAACAATTTCTGTAGCAGTACTTAAATAAAAACACAGTATTTAAGGTCAGTTCTAAAATTAACTCAACTAAGCACTATGGTAAATCAAATTTACTACAACCCAAAGAGAAGTTGGACTTACTTGCGAAATTTGTATCCTTGCACAATGTTATGGTTTCTATTCGTCTATAAAACGATCTAGAGCCTGGACTAAAATACTTGTATCACCAACATCTTGCTCAGAATCGACTTTACACTGGACAAGTTCAAAATATTTTTTTCATGTGTACCTTTACAAATGAATCGAGTTCTACTGCCCCAAAGTTTTCAAATATTTCACTGTAAAAAAAATATGCATAGGTATTACAAAAACATATTGATGTTTCACAGAGTGTATGACACTGTTGTAAAATATGAATATCAAAAAATGACAATACAAAGAGTCTAAGATAAAATTTCATCAACTCACACATTATCTGCAGTTCTCATTCAGAGTAAAAGAATTAAGTGTTTTGCGAATAATTAATCTTAATACCGATAATACTTACCTATATTCAACATCATCGGAGTTGTTCACCCTATTAATAAACATATCATGAAATGATGCAACGACCAAACACAAATCACTTAAAAATCCCGAACATCCCAAATCCACAAACTCTATGATAT